TTAGTTTTTCCAATATCTTGCTTTTCTCATTTTCTTTTTTCCTCATCTTAATGGACCAGGTGAGTAATCCAGTTGCTGGTTACCAGTGAAAATGCCTCTGTGGGTGCACACTTGTTTGTTCACGTTACAGCCAGCCTGGTTCAATCTAGCTCTCAGTGCTCTGAAAGGTAGAGAGCCCTCGCACTCAGCCGTGTGAGTGAGGGTGAAACCTCAGCCTTAAGCTTCAGCTCATCTGTAGGCACCCTCTTAGTGGATCACATTTCAGGATAATCTGTTTTATGGGCTCCTGATAGAACAAATTCCTTAAAGAAAGGAAACAAAAACTCCACTGTTTGCAATATTAAAGGACATGGGAGGGTAAAGACAAGAACCTCATCATGGATCATCTTGAACTGACAGAGCAGAAAAGCACAAGTTGCATATTCTGAAGGCTTACGTTCAGTGTTTGAGGGCACTCAGAGTAACTGAATACCTGAGCTGTAAAACTAGCATTTCTTTTTTTACTATATCCCACTGTTCATTAAAAAGCTGCATTATAGACTATGCTGTCTCTGTGAAATGTTTACGGGTTGTTCTGTCTTTGTGGGCTTACTCTGTGTCCTTCAGCACTTCAAAATACAGTGATACCCAACAAGAAAAACAGTTGCCACACAGGTAAATGCTGGAATTTAAATCTAGTGGTCCATGGAAGTATTTAATTTCCAAAATTCTCATTGATTTAACAGACTTTGTTAATCTCCTCCCTTCATGTTGCTCATTGTTTTCTTTTCCATTCTTTCTTTAATCATTCCCAGAAACTACTGACATGCAGTAGTAGACAAAATTAAGATTGTGGTATTTGCCATAACTTTAAGATCCTTGAAAACTGGACAATACGATGTATTTAAGCTTGACATACTGTAGCTTCACAATAACAAAGAGTTTTGCCTATTTATTTTAACTAGATCTTATTTTTCCCATTAAAAAGTCAGTTACAAAATGTAGGAATTATTTTGAATGAGTAAGACTGTCCCCCAATGTGAACAATTTTACTCTTCTGATATTTCTAAACTGATAATCTCAAGTAATAAAGACTTGGTGCTGCAATTCTGCAACTGCTTAAGGTGATCCAAGGCAAGCTGCTGAAACCCTCCCTTCTTACATGTTGGCTCCAGCCTTTGTCTGGTGAGCTGGATCAAGGAGCGACTGTTGGGAAATACATTGCTTCTTTTATTCTGTTATCTGAATGGATTCACAGTGGGATCACACAGGTGAGGGAAGGAGCCTGGCAACTTCAAACTGAAATGGCTTAGAAGGACACAGAACATGACCCTCTGAGTTGGTGGTTGCTGAAAGGTGCCTGTGCCCGTTCCAAAGTAGCAAGGAGAGAGAAAAGCCAACAGTGTGATAGCTTTGAGGAATGGAAGTAATACAAGGATAGAATAGCAGTGCACAGACTGCTGTCTGCCTGGACAGCCTGGTAATGCATCCTTTATGAGGAGCATTGTGTGTTGGACTTAACATGGTAAATTTCAGGATAGTAAATTTAGACTTAATAAAATAATTTATTGCTGTTGCAAACAATAACAGGAAAATTACACGAGCCTATGTAAATCAAAGAGTACACTTGAAAACTTGTCTGTGGGGCTGAGATCAGTGAGCAGGTCTGGCAGTTTTCTTAGCCTTTCCCCAACCCTGAGGAAAAACAGATGAAGAACAAACTATGCACAGAACGAGGATTGTCAAAAAACTTTAAAACTATCGGTTTCAAATCTTAATAACAACAGAAGCAGTCACTGTCTGTCAGCTTTATAGCATCTGTGAGCTGTGACCACTGTTGCAGCGTTCTCAGCTGGTGCCTCTTGTAGCTCTGGCAGGAGAATCACAGGCTGATAGGGCCACAGATGCTCAAGTCGTCTTTTGCTGCAGGAGTGACTTCAGGAGGACATGCTGGGAACAGTCTGTACTACTGTAACTGCTTTATTTCATCTGTGGATTGATGGATTTGTGTCTGTAAAAGAACTAACATGGCACTTTTTCTGCATATGTTTGGTTTAAATGTAAAGAATAAAATAGATGGTAATTGATTGCCTCCTATGGGATTATTTCCCAAAGTGAGGTTGAGATATAAACGTGTCCTCATGTTGTAGGCTGCGCTTTCTTTTAAGTGTAGTGTCTTTTGTTTGTTTTCAGTTGGGCCCAAAGGACGTGTTATAAGTTATGAAATCAGAGATGATCATCATAATTTAGCTAAGAAGAATTACAGGCACTGGCGAACCGCATGGGAAATAGGACACATGGACGAGTGGCCGGATAACGTGGATTTCATTCTTAGAGACATTTCAACAGCTGCTGCAGATATGAAATCTGTAACACTGGACGCAGTGAGTCCAAAAAGTCCATTTGACGTGTATCTTTTCTACATAAATTAAAACCTCTAGTGCTCACACTTAGAACAGGATTCCCATATCTAGTTTAACATGAGAAAAAACAATCGCGTCTTCATCAGTGAAAGAAACACTGTGGGGTTTTGTTGGATTTACAAGTATTTTCAAGGTTTCAGTTACGGTTTCCCAAATGAAAGAGTGATAAAGCTGTACTATAGAAGTATAACAATTAATTACTGCTGTCTTGTAAGCAAAGACCAACTTACTTCCTTGTATTTGTCAGAAACTGATATTTTTATAACTGAGATACATATTTCAAGCATTAAATTTCAGAAGAATACATAACCTTATTAAAAATATAAATATATAATCACTTTGCTATCAGCTTTATAGAATGGACAATGTAACTCAAGCATAAGTTAAAGAATGCTGTTGGTTGCTCTCCTGTCCTGCTTCTTGTATCCAGATTTTCTAAAGGGAGACATGCTGGGGAACACAGCTTTATGTTAACTACTCTTCCCTGTAAAGCAGAAAAACTGCTTACAACTGCTTACTTACTAGGTGCTTTAAACAACTGACAATTTTTTTTAAATGTTTTAAGCAATATATATATAACATAAAAATACCATTTTAAAAAACTTTACAATCAACAGGAAATACCAAATACTGCATATCCCATTGTCTTATAGTTCGCATAACTTTCTAGTAGAAGATGGAGAAATTGTCAAAGACAAGTTCTAAATCTTGAAACAACAAGCAAGTTAGATGTTGATACCATAGTGTGCTCTTTTCATTATAAAGATGCACCTGAACGGCCTTTTTTTTTTTCTTTTTACATTGGAGAAATAGGTATTTATATGTATTAGTAAATATAGTCTTCTAAAAGTTTTTATTAATGTCAGCATTATGGAATTTAGTTAGCAGGAGGTTTAACTTCCTACAGGCCTGCTTGGTTGGTGAAACGCTACTTGTTTTAGTAGAAATTCACTTGGAAGTAGCAAGGACTTGGTTTTGTAGAAGTGTGGACCTCAGCTTTTGAGAGGCATGATTACATACTGCTGTTGTATGCATCTATTTTCCATAAACATTTTTTTCCAAGTGTTGCTGTGTTACATTGGTAGATATACCTGTTTTCCCAGTAAATGTTAATGTATCTTTCTCTTGCAGATTGTTCTGGATATGCTTAACCCTCAGTCTGCTCTGCCTGTTGTACACCCAAGCCTGAAACAGGGTGGTGTGTGCGCTGTGTATTTAGCAAAGTAAGTATTTACTTCTGGCACTTACAGCTGGCATTGTTACAAAACCAAACTTCTTTTAAAATTCACATCCAGCATTAATGAAATGTTTAGCAAAGTTTGAGGTTTTTTTCTCACGTGTAACTTCTTTAGGGAGTTGCACACGGTTTAAATTACACTTGCCCAAATCCTTTGGCCTCTCCTTTGGGAATGTTCTCATTCTGATCAGTGGAAGTCTGCACTTTGTGACATCCTCAAAGTAACTGTACTGTTCTCAAATTCAGTAGTCAGGTTGCTACTCCTTTACCCTAAAATTGAAGGGCTCTTATAACCTCAAAGGTAAAGAATGTGACAGTCACGTTAGAATTGAGATTGTGTGATTTGAGTTTTTGAAATACTATTTTGTCCTTTGCATTTCTTCAAAAGCATCACACAGGTTATTGACCTTTTAGACAGAATACGGACCTGCAAGCTTCCTTTTCTGTGTGAAAGGATTGTTGAGGTAACTCACAGAAACTGGTTAGTACTCCCTGCTAAAATCAAGGATTGCAAATCAAGCCAAATGGTGGAAACTCAAGAAAATATTGAAGAACCACCTCAAAAGGAATATGAAGAAATCCACATTGAGGATCAAGCAGTTCTTAAAGAAAGCGAATACAGTGGTAAGAACATTTCTGCTGATGAGACACTCTCTTACTGCACTTTGGTAATCCAGTGTAGGAAGAGGCAGTATTTTTTCTTAGATCAGCTGAGAATAGACAAGGTTTTGGACAGCCTAGACCTTGTCAAATTTGCAAAAGACTATAATAGTAATTGTTTAATTAAATATCTTATTAATAATCTAGACTAAATAGGAAATAAATTGCAATAAAGAATGACTGCTCTTCTACTACTGTTTTCAAACGTTTGTTTTTCAATAAAATTCAGTTCTTTTTTATTTGTCCTAAGGCTGCTTTAGAGGACCCTGACGGACTTAAGAATTCCATAGAAGAAACAGTGCCAGTGTGCTCTGCTTTAAAAATCGCGCTGTCCAAAAAGGATGCCTCACACATACACATATATATGTACACATATACAACAGATATAGATATATATACAGTATAGATTTGCAAAATCCATACTAGAGCAAAGAGTCATAGGTGACAACAAAGCACCATAACAGAAGCAAAAAAAAAAAAAAAAATTTGTCAGGTAAAATAATCTGTGCACATTAGCAACTCTAGTCTGCATGTATGTCTTAAACTTGTGGGAAAGAAGTAACAAACCAAATGTACTTCTCACAGGATCACTTTCTGATGATGCTGAAACGTATCGCTCAGTGCCTTACATTGCTAGACCCTCTTACTGGCAGGAAGGTCATTCAGGTGAGACACTTGGAAAGTGGTTTTTATCTTAAATGTGTAGTGATATTTTATTTCCAGAAAGTACTACTTTTTTTTTTTTTTTTTGCACTAGCATTTGGCATGTTACTATGTCATGAAATCATAAAACTTATAATAATAAAATAATCATTGCATACTGAAATACTGAAGTAGTAACTTCTTTTGTTTTTTGATTAGCATTCCTTACCAAGCTGAGAAAGTTTCGGCCACTGCTTTCTTGATGCTGCTGCTGCGTTAGCTGCTAATTTGAATATTGTATCAGAATAAAATAAAACATTGCAAAGTAGCTGCTACATTTTGCAAGTTGTGTAACTTTTAAGTAATGACTGCTTTGATTTCTACTTGGTGTGAAGTTTGAAACCCCACCTACTATTTAAAGGGAAAAGTTTTAAGGGAATCATCAGGTCTGGTGCATCTGTGATGCAGCACAGATTGTTCTGCAAATCACAGCATCTGTTTCTGTCTCATCGGGTGTATTTCATTCTTCATTGCTTATAAACCAATCCATGGATTTATCTTGGTTCAAGGTGCTACATGGTTGCCTTTTGCTGGACAGTCTCTGACAGTCTACCAGAAATAAGGAGAAAAAAAATTTAGTAAGAAAATAAGGGATCAAAGTCTGTTCTTTTAAATGAATACTTGGTTGGCTACCAACTGGTGACTGTCGGTTTCTTTAAGAACAGTGTTCTTAAAGCACCACTTAAAGAGCTACTGAAATTCACTGAATTTGCTTGCTTGGTAAAGCTGTGCTCATCTCAAGAGAAAGACAGTTGTTGACACATACAGCTTTGGTTCATTTCTTCCACTCGTGCTGAAAGTTGCCTGGTTAATTGTGAACTTTGCTTCATATAAAAATTCTCAAACAATCAAAGTAAACACAATTTCTTCTGACCAGATATGAAAAGCAAGATTTCTCAAGTAAAAATAGACTTAATTTTAAGTCTTTAAGGGTCTCACATGAGCATCTGGTGCTGTTTAACACATTAAATTATGAAGTGATGTGTCATAGACACCTAACTTGTTCTGTACCTCAGGAAATATTCAAATGCCAAATTTTTCAAAGTTGAGGGGTCCCTTGAGAATCACTAAGTTTTACTAAAGCTGTCAAAAGCAGTAACACAATCTTACTATAATAGTGAAAAGTGGATATTAATGAGAACATATCCAAATAAAAAATACAAAGCTATAAATAACCAACCCTGCATTAAATAACTACACTAGGAACTTGCCAGTGGTTAGGTACATGGAAGTATCTTTGCAGAGCTGAAGCCTTATACAGCTGCCCCAGGAAATTTACGTCTCAAGTGTGTTCCACTTTCAATAATTATTTAATAATCAGTGTGCCCCATAACTTCTGTATGTAATGGTTCTTCTCGTGCAAAGGCTGAGGATGCTATTTTGAGTAGATTAATGTGCAGAGATTCAAACACATCACCAATTTTCACAAACTTTTGTACTGTTTCTTACTGGTACCCCAGTCTGAAAATGAAGTCTAAACTGTCAACAATTGAGATGCAAGGAAAATGTGAGTTATGATTTAGCCTGTGTCCAAATTGATGACCACAACTGAGCAGCCAGCCCTTTCTAAGAACAGTGTCTCAGCGCGTTACGTGTTAACTCACGTAACACCCTCTCTTTTAACTCACGTGACACACCTCAGTATTTTTATTGTTTCTTCCACCAACTCCTAAGTGTTTAAAATAGAATTTTCAATTTCATTTGTAATGCTAGAATAGTAATAAGTGCCTAAATAGACTGGAGTGCAACCCAAAATCTACTGTAGCAGATGAAGATAATTTGAAGAGACTCAGTGTAAAGCAGTTGGTACTTCCAGGAAGTCAACATGCAAGATGTGAAAATGAAAATGGATCTGTGGCAGTAAAAACAAAGTTCTGCCAAGGTAATAGGGAAGGACACAAAAGCCCCTGCGCTACTCTGAAAGGCAAATACGGCCTCAGTTGCCTAAACTAAATGGAAATTATTTGCAATATTAAACCATACCTTGGGCATAAGCAGGAGAGTCAACAAGCATTTTTTCAGTCAGAAGGGTGTCCTTTGAGTTCTGGGATGAATGTAATTCCATCATCTCCAAAGTGTCGGTAGATGAGGAGGAAGATGATAATCCCAGTCGCACAAATCTCCCTTTCTTGCCGCACAGCAGGCAGTCTGTAGGGGTAGCGCTGGGTCCTCGGGGCAGCTGTACTTCGTCACAGTGACTCCTCATGGCTCCACTGTGGTGCATAGAACGTTCTCGCTGCCATATGTAATGTGTTGGAGCAATAGCCATCACCTACTGGGACAGCCATTGGGTCAGAAAACGTAAAAGTGATGGGAAAACATACGCTGAAAACAAGGGATCCAATTAGCGTATGGCAGGGAATTAATACAACATAGTTGAAGTGGGTATCATGTATTATCTGTCTGCTTCTATCCCACTAGAAAGTTTGCTACCTTAGGCAGGAATAAGTAATCCAGATGCCAATCAGATGTGGAAACATAACAACTTACAGCCTTGTATATTCAGGTGAATCATCACAAACACCAGCTCATTCTTTGCATGTTGGACAGAAGATGGTGTCTTTGACTAACTACTAAACATCAACTAGATGTATATTCCTGTTCACAGGAATGATATGAGAAGATGCTGGGAAAAGCATTCTGCGCTCACCTTATTCCTTGTACTTTTCCTATAAGCATCTAATCCCATCCCCAGAGAGGGAACCCTTTTCTTTTCCACCAGCTCTAAGTAAGCGTTATATACTTAGAACATGACAAGGGCTTTTCCAGATATACATTCTGCCTCAAAAGTGAGGAATATATTTTTTCCTTCCTAATACATTTGAAAATTGTAGGTTGTAACACTGCCTTAATAGTAGAGAATGTTAAAAGTGTTAAAACTTTCCAAGTTTTTCATAAATGTAGTGAAAAACTCTTACCTTGAAAAGTCAGTTGAAATGGCATAATTAGTTTTGAAGGCGTTAAAATTTCACCTGAGCTGCTGGGATTTTTATTTGAAGGTATTACTTGTGTACAAACTTACAGATTGAAAGCAAACACGCACACAAAGTTATTTCTAAAGTGGCTGAAGCGAAACAAATGAAGGTAGATTTTAAATAAAAAATATTGGTATAAAGCAGATTCTAGCCAATAGAAACTTTTAACAGTAGTGCAATATAAAATATTCTAGTTTACTTTAAAAACATAATTTCAAACTATATTTTAAATGCAGAAGGAAAAAAAAAGTCATGGAGGATAAATGGACCATTACATTTTAGCTGCATCTGTTCTTTCCCATGGATTGTCAGTGCACTTTAGGGAGGCAATTGTGCACAGCTATAGATCAGTGACTGGTGTTAACTGGTGTAACTTCAGCATCTACAATATTAAATCCCCTTCCTACCTCTTCACAGCAGCGTCTGCTCACAATAGCCCTGTAGTCAATTCTACTCCATAGTTGATCTCTCAACCTTAAGAAATCGGGGAAGAGCTTTCTCCAGGCTTTTCCCAAAGCCCATGGGAAAATGTCATACTTTGCTTCTTCGTGGTCTTCTTCAACTGTGTTTGCCAGATACCTTCAAACATATATATGTTTGTGTTTGTAAATATTATTCAATCTTAAATCAGTATATCAGAATGATTTCTAACATTAAAAGACATATTGAAGTGTTTCTTTTTTCTAGTATTGTGAGGAAAAAATGCTAACAAAATACAGCCTTCTCTCTGGAATACAATATTTTCTTAATCAGTTCCTTGTGCATCCTTTGGGTAAATAAAAACAAGCTCTTATAAAAATTGCTTTACCCTAGATTTTCCTAAATTAGTAGATATGCAAGAACTGACATCTTTCTCCAAACTGACAAGAAACCCTTGTACTAAAATGAAGGGTTTCTGACTGAAATTTATTTCTCTAAATAAAGCTTTAAACTATTATATGAAATCTTAAACTTTACATTTTCTACTCTATGGATTTTAGCTATTCTTGGACAATTATGTTGCTCATCTTAAATTAGCAGCAAACAAATAAATACAGGTCTACCTTCGGATATAAATGAAAACCTTAAATGATTTTTTTAATGTCCATTATTTCTCCCTTCCTTCACTATCTGCTACTTTTGGTTCTGGATCATCATCTCAGACAACAGGAAAATATTTACTTCCTCTGGACCCACCTGATAATAAACTGTAAATCACACCTGAAAAAATTACGACTTTTAGTCTCCTCCCCAGTTTTCTCACTTGCTCCTGACCCCAATATTCCCTCTAGTCCCAGTCTCACCAGACCCTTTGTCCCTTTCTAAGCCTTTCGCTGTTCTGGCCTGGCTTTTCTCCCTTCAGTGGAGTCAGAGGTCTCCCTCCTCCATGCTCTGTGGATGTTACCCAGAAGGAACAGCCATCTTTGTCCCCTCACTAGTGTGCAAATAGAGCATCTGAGAAGCGCTGTTATGGAAAAAGGTGATCTCAACACCATAAATACAGAATCCTGTAGGTAGGTAGATAGATATGCCTGTAGGTACAGCCAAATATGGAGGGATTACGTAGGCTTGGGAAAGACAGAGTACAGATTGCTCCTCTGTTTCAAAGTATAGACATTTTACAACTGTTCAAAAGAATTCTCAGAAATTCTCTAGCAACATTTTTACAGTCGACTTAAGTCATGGTGACAGAAACTTTAATAAAAAGTTACTCCTGAGATGCATATCACGGTGAAATGTTCCAGCACAAATGACTTAAAGGCTGGCAAAGATATGGAATATGTCTTATAACAGGAACTGTGAGCCATGTATATGTTGCCATGTATTGTCTTGCATATATTTCTTGTATAGCTTTAAAAAGTTCACAGACTGAGGTTTGTTCTTTTTAATTTTTTTAACTATGTATCACTACAGCAATGCAAAATCCCCTCTCTGCTGCTCAAGCTTGTTCCATCAGAGGGAGAATGTTGAATTTGCACTATTTATGTACAGTATGTAGATTATCACAGAACCATAGAATGGTTTGGGTTGGAGGGGACCTTAAAGACCATCTAGTTCCCCTTGCCACCCCCTAGATCAGGTTGCTTATGTTTCTGTACGTCATATAGGACCCAAACAACTGCACATCAAAGGAGTCTCATCACTTATCATAATGATCAGTGTCATAAAGAAATAAAATAATGCAAAGTTTATCCTAATAAAACCAGATAATTTGAAAGTACTTACAGAGCAACAAAGAAGTTAATTCTGGTATGCTCACTTGTTGTGAAGTTAGCCCTCTTGAAATAAACGAAAGTCATTGCCAAGAGATACTGTTTTAAAATGTAAAATGAAGTATCAATGTGTTATTTCAGTACCTTATTTCCTAAATTGACTAGCACATTTATCTTGCACCAAGATATTTCATCATTTTCATCAAGGACTAAAGCATGAATTGAGTTTCTTGAAACTTCCATATGAATCCATTAGAAAAAAATTATATTCTGTATTTGCATTAAAGTATCGAGTGATTAAGGGCACATTTCTTTCTCAATGTATTTTCTGTTAACTAAGAAGGAAACACACTTACCTTGTCTGCAATTTTACAGCAGCAGTCCATCCAAAGGAAGTCTTGGATTAGATCATCATCTGCAACAAGCGAAAGTTGTAGCATTTCAAACACCAAAATTGTTTATGTTAGAGAGTATTTGTAAATAAATAACAGATGGTCGTTTCATTAAACCAAATAAGAGGAAAGAAACTAGACCCACCAGTGGAAACAGAGAAACTGAAGGGAGTAGGAGATCAGGTGTGAAAAAACTTAAGGGACAAAAGAAGACAAACCACCATAAAGGCAAGGTGGTAAATTTAGTGACCAAATTTCATCCATTCTCAGTAACAGCAAGTGAAGGTGACAAATCACAAGTATTTCTTCTATTTGGGTCACTTCTTCCTGCATTCAGTGGTTCCAGGTAGTACCACACTGTTATTTTGGATGAACTACAGACTGTTGAGATCTCTGCACCTTGATTACCTGGCAGCCTTTCCAGGGCAATACTTGTTTATTTGTGGTCAGAGCACCACTGTCGGTGAACATGGACGGTAAGTACCGCGACCTCTCCGAGTCACTTCTGCATTTAAGGGTCGAATAAAAACCAAGTGTAACCTTCCACTATTATTTAATGTCTTCACTAAATTAAATAAATACAAAACGTTATGTGAAAGAGACACAGATAAAGAAGAGGTGCTTGGATTGTCTATGGTGGTATTCAAAACTACCTTGGTTTCATCTGTAATTTAAAAAAGATACTTTTCATCAGTTTGGTAGCCCTTCTTGTATTAACTTAAGCATTAAATATTTATACACCAAAATATAACAACAAAATATGTTTAGATAAAGAATTGCCATTAGTTTTCATATAAAAAGCACTCTCAAAATTACTGAGCTTAGAAAACATTCTGTTCAGTCAATACATTTGTATCTGTCATTATTAACCTACCAAATAATTTAAAGAAAGCTGTCATTTCCTGACGCTGAATAACTAGACATGGTCCCTTTGGACATTTATATTTCTGACTAGGGACCCCTTTTTCACAATTTTCTTGATGGTCTTTAAAAGCAGGTCTCTTTAGTCTATAAAGTTTTTTTTGCTGATGTGATCTGGATGCACTCGATTTTACATGAACAGTGACAGTGGGAGGTGTCTGACACACCAGATTGTGTTTCATTTCGGTAAGTAAAGGTTCCTGTTAAAAAAGAAGAAGAAATTAACTACAAAAACAGTCAGTTTGAGCATTGGTACTCTACATTTCTTTAGTTCACATGAAGCGTTTCAGTGGAGCTTATACATCAGGTGATGGAAAATCAATTTTATCAGTACTAATTATCTAAGCCTTGTGCCCTAAGCCAACTATGTTGAGTCCTTTGATTTAGCTCTAATTTGATAAACCTTTTTTTTTTTCCAGTAGGTGCCTTCAATCTTTTTCCAACCAAAATTTTGAAAAATAGGAAAAGAGCCTTTCCATAAAAAGTTGCTGTTTGTCAGATCCTCATAGCTCCACACCCTTACTTAGACCTACCAAAAAATCTGTGTTTCTCTGCTCCAATTTGTATTTGTGTCTTTTTAAAAGAATATTAATAGAATGAACGCAGCAGAACCATGAAGAAGCCATGTAACATTAAAATCAAGTCTTGAGCTCCTAACTTTGTTAACATTTGGTTACAGCCATTGGGAAATAAACTTTTCCCTCAAGTCGGACATACCCTGAAGGCACAACCAAGGAAACATACCTGAGGTGCTTGTAACTGCAAAATTCAAGAGGATACCAAATGCAGAGTGAGGAAATGTATTTTTAGGCGGTATTAAATGTATTTACTCCTTCAGAAGGTCTCTCCGCATGGGGCTGTTTGAGGCCAGCTCACAGCAGCCTACCTGACTGCCCAGGGCTTAGCTGGCTGCCACATAAACACAAAAAGCTCTCAGCTGTGGCTGTAATTTTCTTTCCCCGCGGGAAAGCCCGAGGCGGCCTCTTCCTTTCCCTTCCCTTCCCTTCCCTCTCCTCTCCCGCTCCGTTCCCGCCTCCCTCAGCCACCTCCCCCTCACGCCGCAGCCGCCGCCGCGCGCCCGGAGTGGCGCCTCTCGCAGCCAATCGGCGCGCGCCAGGCGGCCGCCTCAGCCAATCGAACGGCGCGGCACTCTCACCTCCCGCCCCTTCGCTTGCCGCCCGCGCCGCGGCAGCCAATGGGAGCGGGGGCGGCGGCGCTGCGTGAGGGAGTCCTCGCCACCACGGGCCGTGGTTAAGCCTGGCTTTAGTCTCTCAGCTGCCCAACAGCTTTGAGAAATCTTCCTTCTTCCCTTCCTTCCAGTGCCTGGGGGAGCCTGCGAGAAAGACGGAGAGGGACTTTTTACAGGGGCGTGTAGTGACAGGACAAGGGGGAAGGGATTCAAACTGAAAGAGATTTGATTAGATTAGATTAGATTAGATTAGATTAGATTAGATTAGATTAGATTAGATTAGATTAGATTAGATTAGATTAGATTAGATTAGATACTGGGAGGAAATTCTCTGCTGTGAGGGTGGTGAGGCACTGGAACAGGTTGCCCAGAGAAGCTGGTGATGACACGTCCATCCCTGGAAGTGTCCAAGGCCAGTTGGATGCGGTTTTGAGCAACCTGGTCTAGTGGGAGGTGTCCCTGCCGACGGCAGGGGGGTTGGATCTAGGTGGTCTTTAAGGTCCCTTCCAACCCAAACCATTCTTTGATTCTATGGTTAAAACATCTCCCCAGGATGATAAACATCTCCCTAGGAGATGCACAAGACGAGGGAGAAGACATATCTAACTAAATATCAAACATACAGGTGCAGGACACCCTGCTTCCACCAAAGCAATCCATGTAGTAGTGTGCAATTAGTCTAAGGCATTCTATTAAAATATCATAATAAGAATGAAAATTTCCCTTTACTAGCAAGATTCAGTGTGAAATCTTAATGTTGCCTTTTGTTATAAGAGCTTAAGGTTTATCCAGGAAGAAATACATCCATTTTCATTGTTTCCTCCTGTACAAGCCAATTAAAGTGTAACTGGCCTCATCTGTTATGATAATGAGAAGAGAGGCCTCTCTACTCCTTCCTTGTATTAATTAATAAATTGCTAGAGTATTTAGGTGCTCTGAGTTAGTGAGCATATTCAGGGAAAGGACATACCAAGTTTCTGATCAGGTAGGGAGATAAAAGACATATCAAGTGGTAAATGTAGTAACTAACAACATCTCTGTATGAAACAGGCTGAAATCAGGAAACTTGGCAGCGAAGTGGAGATAATACCAAATACATCAGTCAGGCAAAAGTCTGTTTCTTTGAGGTTGTCTTTTCATATACACATGTTCACACTGACTTACCCTTCATTAAATTGTTCTTTATTTTTGCATAATACTTTTCATCTAAGGAATTCAAAGTACTCATCAATTAATCGCTGTTAATTTGATAACTGTGAAAAACAGAGGAAGGGCAGGGTACAGAAACTTCCATATAACCATCTAAACCATTCAGACCAGGAAACAAACTTCTTTTTGTTTTTCCCCTACTGGAAAACATAATTGCAATGATAATTGTGATGTGCATGCTTCCTTATTCTTTATACCTTTATATCAGTAAAAAGTGGTTCACAGTGTAAGTCTTTATCCACACAGAGCTTTACAGGGTTTGTATGGTTTTTCCTGCAGGTCTCCCCTCTCTAAAATAATTTTTGAGCTGGTGGTTCTGCAACAAAATATTAAAAGTTTTTTTTCTTTTCATTCAAAAATTTGTCGTGATCAAGTTATTGAACAGGTATTGTCACTCTCTTCCCCCAGTGTGCTGTCCCCTTCCTGCCAGGACCGAGGGCTCTGCTCTGATTCAGATGAGCTGCATCACCTTGGCTCAGACTCTGAGGAAACTGAAGTTACGAGAAAGAGCTGTGAGAACGTCTGGAACTCCACCTTTCTTTCCTTGCAGGACTCTGAAGCCTGATGTAGGATTGTTGAGATGAGGATGATTCAAGGATTCAACTTGGAAACACTATGGAAAAACATCAGTGTGGAAAGGTTGATGCCTGAACACCGTGACGATAAGGAAACAGAACTTTACTTGTAAAGTCCTCTGCATGATATAACAGACTTAGCTGATTCTCAGCTTTGCTTATTATTAACTACAGTTTTTAGAGGGTTGTTGAACAATTCATCCAAGAATATCGGGAAAAATGAAACTTTTAGACTTCCAAGTCGCTCGCTGGACATCAGGGAGCGCTGTTTCACCACCAGCACTTTAAACTGAGACAATGCAGTGTTTGTCCAGCACAGTACACTGGGGTTCATGTTGTACATCATTCTTAATACTTCCTGTAGATGGACATTAAATCAGTTTAGCCACTCTTTATATGTAATTACAGTTTGAAATCATATTTTAATATAAAAATATAAATAATTTTAATTTTATATTAATATATTTATATAGTTTAAATTATGCTTTATATATATAATAAAACCTGTGTTTAAAATACCTAGGAGTCTTACAAAATCTTATTTCTGAATAAAGAAAATGTCCATATATACACTGGAACTTGATTCTACGAGATATATAGTTATATAGATATCCAGTAGCTGGTCCAAAGAGGCAGCTGCAGAGCAGTTAACTTCCTTTACATGAAAAAAGAACTTAAAATCTTTCAGTGATTGAGATGTTTACAGATAGATTAAGAAGCACCACTGAAGAAGAAGAGGATTGGTGTTTTGATAAATTATATTTAGGATATACCTACTTTTTTTCCATATTTTAATATTTTTGAGTTGCCTTTGGGCTCTGATATCCTTTCAGTGAATTTTTTTTTTATTTAAGAAAGATAAAGTGCCACAGGAAAAACACGTGATATTTCTTTTCAAGCAAAGTCATGAAGAACCACCATTAGTTCTTCTAAATGCAGATCATTGTTCACAATAAAATATGTATTTTTCAATTATAGACTTGTCCCAGGTCTTGCAGAGAAATAGAAAAAAAAATAGAAATGAAAAATAGAAAAAAAAATAGAAATGAAAAATAGAAAAAAAAAATCTCTCTTCCCTGTAGAGAGGACTGCTGACCTTGCTGGGGGAGCCTGGCCTCTCAGTCAAATATGTTCTAAATTAAATGCACACAGGCTGAACACTCCATTCCTAAAGACCATAACGAAACTGAAACATGCATCTAAAAAGCAAACTTTGGACATGTCGTTAATTCTTTCAGAATAAAGGGTGGAGCAAGTCACACAAGTTTCAGTAAATTAAAGAGGAACAGGTAAACCACCTGAACCCACATCTAACACTAGAAACCTATTTTTTTCTTACGTGGGAAGAGAGAGTAAGGATTTAGATGAGTTGTGTGAAACAAATTATTATGGCATCATGGTGTCAGGGCTAGGGCTAAGCATAACAGATTGAATATGCCTTACCAGTTTGCTACTGGAGATAGTGAGCACTGGAAAGGTGCCTTACAGCTAAATCCTTGCTTTTGACAAACGTTACAGCAAATCAGAGCTCAAATCAATCCAGCAGTTTAATAACCTAGGTAGTCTCATCTCCTCGGATGGTAGGATTGACAGAGAGATAGACAACAGGTTAGCAAAGGCATACAGTGCCTTCGGAAAGCTTCATAAAAGAGTTTGGCAAAATAAACACGAAGAAAAGTACAAAGATCAGTGTTTACAGAGCCATAGCGCTGTCTACTCTCCTATACGGATCTGAATCATGGGTCATCTACCACCACCACCTGTGTCTCCTAGAACACTTCCATCAACGCTGTCTCTGTACAATCCTAAACATCCACTGGTCAGATTATATGACCAATACATCTGCTCTAGAACAAGCAGCAGTCACAAGTATTGAGGCCATGTTGCTGAGAACACAGCTGCGCTGGGCAGGGCACATCTCAAGGATGAAGGACCACTGCCTCCCTAAGATCTTGCTTTATGGTGAACTTGCCACCGGCTGCCACAAGAGAGGAGCCCCCAAGAGAAGATACAAGGACTTCCTGAAACAACATCTCAGCCTTGGCCATATTGATCAACATAACTGGTCTACTCTGGCCTTCAATTGGGAGGTCTGGAGACACACCATCTATAACGCTGCTGATGCCTTTGAGAAAGCATGTAGGATCATTCTAGAGGAGAAAAGACAACGCAGAAAGAATCTTGTCTTGCTGAATTTACCACCTAAAGAGTCCTTCTGCTGTACCTTTTGCAACCAGACATGCCTATCCTGTATTGCCCTTTTCAGCCACCAACGCGCTTGTGACAAACGTGGGTAGAGCCCTTCCCAAATCTTTGTTCGCGAAGCCCAGCCATGATGACAGTATGATTAGAACTAGAAATGGTTCAGTGTCACTTAAGTGTATGTCACTTATGGATGAATGGGCAGGAAAATTGTTTCCAGCTTTGTTTACTTGAAAAGAACTTCTAAGCATATAGCAGCAGTATTTTCTAATACTTAAGTCCCAGGACAGCTGTCGGTGTCCTCAGGTACTGAGAAATTCAGGAACTAGAAGAAAAAAATTATTTTCAAATTGAAGAGTGAATAAGAACTGCACTGACTAGACTAATACAGCAAGTGGTAAAAGAAGTTGAAGGCTGCCAGCAAACACAGTGCATGTTTAAACATGCTGCTCCTGCATACTTCAAAACAGTCAAGTACTCTGCAGCAGCAAATCCACATAAAGTGCCAGGGACATAAGTCTGAACTTGCTGTTCATTCCTACTGTAAATAGACTGATATATCTTCTATGAACTTAACTAATTCAAAGCAGACAGGGGAAGCCCTTAAGATTTATTTTTAAGAATTGGCACTTGTGTGCTGGTTGTAAATGAAATGAAGCAGTCTTATCAGAAGAGTTCAAATTGCTTTGTCAAAATAAATAGATGGGATAGACTACATTACGTCTGCACTATCATATCACAAAAGGGCAAGTGATGAATGATGGATCTCTCAACATGGGTAACTCAAAACTCTCAGTGCATATTTTATGTCAAAGGGAAAGGAG